CTCTGCTTTGTGATGGTCCCAGGGTTGAATTTAAAGCACTCGTACCAAACGAGTTAGAACTTTGAAAACTTCATGCAACTCCGTTAACTTATTTCCTTGAATCTCTGTGTGTATGTGTGTTTTAGCTTAGTTTTAATGTAATCTAGAATAGCTAATAAATTCATGTTTCATTTATAAAGAATCATTGTCTGGTGTCGTATAATTTTAAAGTCAAAAACCTTGCCAAGATCACGTTACCCTAGCTCGTAGCTTACTTATAAAAGAACGTATTGACCCGTGGCCAGGGAAATACAAATATTTAAATTGTTAAAATATACTGAGGTCAACGGCTCGCTGGACGACCGTTGATTTAAAGTGTAAACTCTCAAATTTGAAATCGGTTTTAATCAGGTTGACCTCGAATTTTCGGATTCGGTTCCTCTCAAAACCCGAGCTAGAAATAAAATTAATGATTAATTCCCTTATAAGAATTAATGAGTTAAATTCCTTACAGTACAAAGAAAATCAAGATACTTCCTGTTAGATATTTGTGTGTTACATAGAGAATTGCGTGTTGTGTTTAGCCAAAAATGTTTTATGAAATTGAAAACTGAGTCAAAGGCCAAAAATTAGCGTATGGTTCTGCAGATTTAGTGTGTGGTTCTGCTGTTTGAGTGTCAGGTTTCAGAAATTGTGTGACAAGTAAAGATTTGGTGTGTAAGCAGTTGAAAAAAACTGTAGTACCTGCACATACTGCACTTGCTGATTCTTGACTTGCTCTGAATTCCTTTCAAAAGGCACCCTATATACCCGTTTCATTCGGAGTCTGTTATGATGCAGGATCTGGTCAATTGTAGAAATACTTATACGATCAGTTTCTGAGAAGGCATGTTGATCTTCAATAATTCTCCTCTGAATTTCACGCAGTCTAATTGCATTATTAGTAATGACCATATTTACAATTGCGGTTTCTTGGTCCTCTGTCAGAAGACGTTGTCTGCCTCCAAAAATACAGTAGGCTACATATAAGAACAACTAATACTGATCAACAAATCAATTTGACAGTTATTAGTTTAAGGATGTACATACAGCATGTGATACAGTACTGTACACAGAAGAACAATGAAGCTTCTTTCATCTAAATTTTAACTGTATATCTACAAACCCTGTAGATTACTGCACAGTGTCTTTGGCAAATACCAGGTACCTGTTTTCTTCTAATGTTCGAATGATAGACGTGACTGTGAATCTGCTCACATTCGGTTGAACTCGTTGGCCAGCATCCCTCATGGTCATCCCATGCACAAGAACATGGTCAAATAGTGTTGCCCATATTTCGTCAGGAACAAATGTTCTTTGGTTCCTTCCTCTTCCCCTTCCTCTCTATCTCCCACTACTTCTGCTTTTTCATGGTTAGGGTCCATTTTCCAAAGCAAATAATCACCTGTGGCCCTTTTTATATTACCTGAGATTCTGATGGGTGTGTTATCAATTTTGCTACTTAGTGTTAACACATGCATAATTGTGTGCTGATTGTGTTCAGCTTGTGACAGCTTGAGTTATTATGTGTTTGTGTTTTCTGAATGAGAATATGGTTAAACCTGTGCAAAATGATGGCGTTTTTGTGTAGCGTTTTGCAGAAAACACTGAGCAAATTGGAACGTGTGCAAACAGGTGAAATGTGTTAAAAGTTTTGAGAAACGTGTCTTTGTTTTGAGAACTGTATGAATGGTTTGGAAAATTGGGCCAAATGAATCAGTTATAGTGTGTTAACAATCGAGAAAAACTGTAAAAGCTGTTTATTCTTTCTCTTGTACTTCCTCTTTCACATCATTCTCTCTTAATTCTCTCTTAATGTGTCAATATCTTAAATATTGACACATGTCTGATGTTGGCTATATCTAAAATATAAGAAAAAATGAAATAATGGTTGCTTTCTTCAGATTTGCTACAGTTTTTACCGCCTGTGTCACTAATATAAGTCAATAGTGCGAAACATACAGTGACCAATGTAGTCTGCATTGTTGTCATGTTATATTGTACTTTTGTATTTGGCATTGCTGTGCTTTTGTTGTTGTTGTTCAGAGTCTACATTAACTCACAAATGTCACTGCTTAGTTTTACACCATGAATAAACTGTTCAAATGACAATAAAAGTCTCACGACCTTTTTTACACAATTGAACAGACTTCTGGGAGCTGAAAATAAGAATTTCTTCCTTAAAACAACTATTATTAAAACAAATAATAATTTTTCTAATTAAGAAGGTGGATTCATTAAGATAAACTGGAATCACAATCATCAAATTTGTTTCAATGCCCATCCCTCGTCTTGGTGTATGAATATTAAACTGTGTTCACAAGTACACATATATCAGTGTCAGAAGCCTGAAAGAATAGAAAAAGATAGACATGAGCTCATAGTTATGGTTTGGTTTGTTCTCTTTCAGCTCCACCGCACTAACCAGTGAGAGAAGAGCAGCAGTTGTTCACTTTATTGTTATATAATTACATAAATACAGCTAAAACCACCATTACAATAAATAGCCATTAAAATATTCCCTTGTTCATGGCACACACCAGAATACAACTTTTCATAATAGCAAATAAATCCTGTTCAATTTAATACTGAATGGGTCATGACAACATTTCTGTTGAAAACTTTCATGTTAGTCAGTGTGACATTTTCTGAAAACATGTTACAAGATTATCAACATTATCAAAAGATCTTCTGTAACACATGAGGTACATTTGTATGTCTTTAATCTGTAGTCATATTTCTAAAGATCTGACTGCAGGATTCAGGAAGTCTTGAGTCTTTAACCGTCTTTCATCATTCAGCCAGTATGGAGCTCAGTCAACTTCCTCTTGTGCTCTGTGAGTATTATTTTCTCTAAGTATATTTCAGTGGAATAGCTATTATATTATGTAAATGATCAAGTGTTTTAGTGTTCCTAGATTTATGTCTTTTCTTGCTGCTCTCAGAGTTTCAAATCCAGCTCTAGTCCATGATATATGAGTGAAGGATGAGTTTGAGAGAGGAAGTGTGCAGTTAGTGCTGTTTGTGAAAGAGAAATGCACTCTGTTGTGTTGTAGATCAGTGTTTGTTCAGTCATTCAGTTTTGTGCTTTATAATAGTGTTGATTCAGTTCTGTTGGTTTGTTTTGCAGTTATTGTTGCTGTTGTCGTAATATTCACTAGTACGCAGTTAGTAAGAGTTTGTCTTTATTCTTCTGGTCATGATCAGACTGTTGTCTTCAAGTTCCCTAAACAGTTCTCTGCTATGACCAAATCTATAAAATACCAGTCAATGTTTTCACGTTAATGTAGACACATATACAGTCCCCACACAATAGCTTAATATTTGCCCATCTGTATAA